TAATAATAGTCAGCTGCTTATTGTATCTACTGGCTCACAAGACAAACATTTCAGCACAGTTTTGAGGGCCTACCTCAGAGAACTTGTCCGCTACCATGTAGCGCACCCTCCATGACTTATCCTCAGCAGCCTGGCGCAACGTGGGCATCACAAGACCCTCCAAGTCTTCCTGGAGCAGCAGGGTGGCGATGCTGACGCAAGCTTCGACTGCTAGAAGCCGCACAGAGTCCTAAAATATAGCAGAGGACACAACACTGTTTAATTTAAAAAAAAAACAAAAAAAACCACTGTGTACAGTTGGATGTGTGTAAAGGAAGAGCTGGAGTATGACAATATGTTAATGATAGAGATAATTTAAGTTACAAAACAATTTTCTAAGACATAGAGATATCAACAGGACTTTTATTGCACAAACTTCACCGTTACTGACAGTAACATGCAGATGATTGGACACCTTTTTATACCAAAATTTTTAAATACCAATAATATATACATTGTGTATAATGAAACCCAATTACTGATTCAAAATATTGTAATGTAATATTTTTGCCTTAGTGCTCACTCTACTAAAGTGTGTAAGCATGTGTGTTTACCTGCTCATCGGAAGCCAGTGCCGTAAAAAGTGGGATGATGTCACTCTTTACGTAGTCCAGCTCCAGCACCTTGGCAAACTCTCCCAGTTTGGAAGCAGCAGCACGTCTCACCATGGGCGTATCATCCGAGCAAAGGGTACGGAAGTACCTACGGAAATGACATCAGTACCTCAGCACACCTTCAGTTTATACCGCAACATTAAACTTACTGCAATAAAGGCATGATTTCGTTACGCATAAATGCAATGACTAAACACGAGTGGTGCTCACTGGCGGATCTCGGCCTTGACAGAGCTGGAGACACGTGGGTAGCAGACGCTGAACAGGCCACAGGCGGAGGTGCGTGATGTGAACCAGTCGCCGCTGGCCAGTCGTTTCACCAGGGGCTCGAAGTGCACCTCTAGGTCTACAGGTGAGTGCTCCTGAGAGATCTTGCGCAGTGACTCCACAGCTTTGTCTCGAACCACCGTCTCCTCCACAGTGGCCAGGCTCTCCAGCGGTGGCTGGGGAAAAGCAAGCGGTGTACTGAATTAAGGAGGCATACTGACTGACAGGAGGCACTGTTGTTCCTTCGTTTACTAATTTTAAATGAATCATTAAAAAAAAAAAGTTCTAGCAGCTTATTAGATAACTGACAGGCCATTAAACAGAGTAATTTTAAATCCTGTTTATTTACTTTTGCTTCATATTAATATTTTTATATTTAACAATTTACAGATTCAGTTTAATCAGTCTTTTCAGTTTCACTGGTTAAAAGTCTTACCAGCAGGCAGTGCACATACTCCGGGCCTCCGACCAGCATGGTGAAGTTCCCCAGCTGCTCAGCCAGGGCAAGAAGCACTTCATCCTCATCGTAAATAGTGTCTGCATGAAAACAGAGGAGAATGCTTTAGCATGTCAGGCACTGATTACTACTGAGCTAGCGAAATTTCCTAAAGCATTTTCATTAGTCCAGCCTTAGTTACATACAGAGCGTAGAAAAAAAACAACATACCAGTAAGGAAGGGTAGGAGCTCTGTGCGTGTCCTCTCAACACCCAGGGCCAAGGCAATAGTAGAAAGCTTTTTGATGCTGTTCAAGCGCAACTGCAGATACAAAGAACGTGAGAATTTAAATCATCAGACTTCATACAAAACTTCAAAACATGGGATATACAGTCTATCCTTTTCTCCAATTCTTCATAGGTTCATATTAACAAAAAAAATTATTTATGACATGCAATAGGATAATTAACATGGGAAAGTTTCTCCCTGATTACACTTGCCTTTTTTTTTTTTTTTTGAGAATCAAAATGCCTCTTTATTCTCCCCAGATATGATTATTTCTGGAAAACACGGTCCAAACTGCACTGTTAAGCCTCGGTGCAAGAAAGCTCTTTACCTGTATCCCATGAAATGGCACAGCTACACAAAAAACACTTTTCTCCAGGATTCCCTCCCCTTTTCTAGAACCCATATCAGGCCTGAAACACGACAGCACTGGATCTCGACTCTGGTCCTGGAGGTACCTGCTTCCAACCCCCCCGAATCAACTAATCAGCTAATTAGCAACCGTTTCGGAGCTGAAGTGGGTGTGTTAGCGTAGGGAAAACACTGAAATGTGCAGGAGAGGGGGGACTCAATGACAGGGAAAACCTGTGCACTAGAGCAGTGTCAGATTTGATAGTTTCTGATCTAATGACATTTTATGCTGTTTACTGTTTACTGTTAGCTGTTTACTCACACCACATATCTTGCACAGCAAAACAGGACAATTGATTTTAAATCTGTCTTCACAAAACATGGCAACTGAAGCTTGTCTTGATTACTACGTGTAGGTGAATCTGGGAGCAGTATCAGCCCATACTCAGAGCCCTAATAGCAGTAGCGAAAAATAAAAATAAAAGTGGTACTGGTGCCTTCCTGTATAACAAACCTTAGTAGTCTCTCTCTCTCTCTCTTTCTCCTCTCAGTATTAAGACCACAATTAACTTAAACATTTTGCAACTAGAGTGGCACAGTGGTGCAGAGGGTAGCGTTTTCACATTAAAGCTCCAGGATCCCTGCTTCAATCCTGAACTCAGGTGACTGTCGGTGCGGTGTTTCTCCCACCTGGCCACGCTAAACTGCCCCTTGTGCTGCGTTCACGACCAAGTGGGAACTTCGGCTTCCCGGCAGGTAAGATCCGTTTGAACAGCTCTCCAATTCGTAATTTCTACTCAGAATATCAGAGTTTTACGAGAGCTCCGACTTCCCTGAGCTGCGAATCTGTCATGGTGGCACCCATAGTGAAAAGTAAGAACAAGAAATTACAGCGAGATTTAAGGTTTTTAAGCCGTCTTTCTGTTTATGTTCCTATTTAAAATCACTGAATACTGTGTGATACTTTGATAATTGAAATTCTCTTTCTCTGTTTGCAACACACCTTATTTAACTAATCAGCTAATGAACAGACCTTCCTGAGTTGAAATACTTCACCTGTGCCCTAGCTGAATGTGTGTGTGTGAATAGTGATCCAGGGTGCTTCCTGGGATTCCTGTGGATCCACCTAGATCCTGACCAGGGCCAGGACTAAAGCTCTTACTGAAAAATGAATGAATTACTACATCTCTATTCCTTGTGGTCTTCAGGATTGACGATACCTATTAGTGATGATCATATTTTGTAATCCTAATCTCCATGAGAATGAGCCTAAGGAAGTTGAAAAGATTCGAGTATCCTGACTGAAATCTCACACCTTTGCCATAATTGTATTGTGGATTCAGGTAAATCCCGCCCCTGATGCTAGGATTGGCTCGGGAAGGGCCTGGATTTGTCGGAATGTAAGTGATGAAATCCGTTTTAATCCAGAATAACCTGATTCAGACATCAGTGTAATGTTAGCTAATTAGCCCTGCTTTAAATCTGTGTCACAGATTAGCTACATTCCAGCTGAGTAACCGGCTAGCAGCTTAGCATAGCGCTCACACGGAAACATAATAAACAGCTAGCTAGCTGAATGGTTTGAAATCTTGACATAAAACGCGAAAACACGACAAACCTCGAAAAAAAACTCATTTAACTATTACTGAGAAGCGCAACGGGACTGCTGTATTCCACAGTTTATAGCCAAGGCGCTTTTTATAATATTTAAGCTAAACACACAGACGCCGGGCTTTTCAATGCTAACTAACTAGCCCTAGTAGCGTTAGCTAGCTAACATTAGTAACCGTTTCTCTATCTTAAAAAACAATTTTTAAAAGCTGAATTTCTTCATAAGTGTTATTATATAATTTTATATATCTGTTTCTCTTATACCTGGACATCTTCATTCCTTAATTCGTCGATTAAAACTGCAATAGGATACAGCGAATCGTCTCCTTCGGCTCCGGCCATTTTGGATTTTAGGCTTGGTTCCGCTTCTACTGCGCATGCGCAACTTCAACCCTGTTCAGCAGTGGTCTGGGAAAGAAACCCCGGCAAATTAAAAGAGCTTTATACCAAATGCTGGATAGAAAAATGATTAATTTAGAATTGTATATTTTTTAAATAAAAAATAAAGATGTAGTTAAGAATATTTTTCCTTACCTGACCAGGTATACTTATTTCTTCATGACAGCAATAAATTAATTGCTGATGTTTACTTTATAAATAGGTAGCAACATAGTTAGGAGCAACAACAAAGACAAAAAAAAAAACAAAAAAACAGCAGCTTTGTCCTAAGCCCATAAAATAGATGTTCAGGTAACTGAGCTTTTAAAAAAAAAAAAAAAAAAAAAAAAAAAATCTGTTACCTTTTATGGACCTATATTGTGAAATGTTTAATGTTGTCATGTTGAACAGGATAAATTTCCTCCTTTACCATTTCACTTTCTCATAGAGTACATAACAAAACTAAATAGTGCTTGAAATGTCAAATATGTTGGCTTGTGACTGGTTTGATGCAAGGTTGCAAAACATCTACAACCCACTCCAGAATTATTGGCACCCTATAAAAGAATGGGCGATAAATTATTACATATTAATATAATAATATAAATAATAATTAATATTAATATTAATATAAATATTAATTCCTTCTTCAAACATTTGTAGAAACTACTTACTTTTCCTATAACAAAATGACATTCTCATAAGAATTTATAAAGTGAAAATGGGTAGGAAGTGTTGTTTGTCAGTGGACAAAAACTGGAGGGAAATTTGCACGTGCATCATAAGCCAGCTCAGATTCGTCAAACCCAATCACACCCCAAATTTAGACTCAGGGCACAAGGTGGAGGACACCCTGGACGGGATGCCAAGCCATCACAGGGCACAATCGCACACTACAGACAATTTGGAAATGCCAGTCAGCCTACAGTGCATGTCATTGGACTGGGGGAGGAAACCAGAGTACCCGGAGGAAACCCCTGAAGCACTGGGAGAACATGCAAACTCCGCACGCACAGGGTGGAGGTGGGATTCGAACCCCCAACCCCGTAGGTGCGAGGCAAGAGTGCTAACCGCTAAGCCCCCCATTTTTGTAGTAGAAATTCTATTTTGAGATCTCTACTATTGAAATTTTTACTAGTCAGACGACAAATTGAAGATATCAGCAATTACATTTTTAGTATTAAAAATATGAAATATCTCTAATATAATTATGACTCATCCATAATATGTATTCAAGATATCTTTGGTTATAGAGCTCTAAAATGTAGTTTTAGATATGTAAAATATGTCTTAACTAGTCATAAATACATTATATATACACTATATGGCCAGAAATATGTGGACACCTGACCAATCAAACCAATATGTGCTTGTTGAACATCCCATTTCAGATTTAGTCCTCCCTTTGCTGTTATAATAACCTCCACTCTTCTGGGCAGGCTTTCCACTAGATTTTGGAGCGTGGCTGTGGGGATTTGTGCTCATTCCGCCACAAGAGCATTAGTGAGGTCAGGCACTGATGTTGGGTGAGGAGGTCTGGGGTGCAGTCGGCATTCCAGTTCATCTCAAAGGTGATCAGTGGGGTTGAGGTCAGGGCTCTGTGCAGGTCACTCGAGTTCTTCCACACCAGCATCGGCAAACCATGTCTTCATGGAGCTCGCTTTGTGCACAGGATCATTGTCATGCTGGAACAGGTTTGGGCATCTTAGTTCCAGTGAAGGGAAATTGTAATACTACAGCATATAAAGACATTCTATACAATTGTGTGCTTCCAACTTTGTGGCAACAGTTTGAGGAAGAACCACATATGGGTGTGATGGTCAGCTGTCCACAAACCTTTGGCCATAGTGTATCTAAAAGTACAAAATCAACTAAATGCATTTACAACTATTTACAAACATTTGTTAAATATAGATATCTTTTATTACTTTTTGACAAGTAAGTTTTTTTTTTTTTTTTTTATATTGTCAATTTCTTTTAAGATATTTAACAATTATAATATAATTAGTCATAAATGCTTTAAAAAAAAAATCCTAAACAAAGTTCTAGAAAGCCAAAATATAATTTCAGACATCAAAAATTCTTACTAGTCCAAACAGTATACTCTCTGCTCACATTCAGCCAAATGCTACAAAACTGATAGGACGCCGCTTCACAGTGCAGGTGGACAATGACCTTAAACATACTGCGAAAGAAACTCAAGACTTTTTGAAGGCAAAGAAATGGAATATTCTTCAATGGCCAAGTCAGTTGCCTGATCTCAACCCAATAGAGCATGCTTTTCATTTACTGAAGACAAGACTGAAGGCAGAAAGACCCACAAACAAGCAGCAACTGAAGGTGGCTGCAGTGAAGACCTGGCAAAGCATCTCCAGGGAGGAAACTCAGAATTTGAGTTTTGAGAACATAGGCTCCAGACTTCAGGCAGTCATAGACTGTGAAGGATTTATCCAAGTATTAAAATTATGGTAATATTTACAGTTATGTCACTTTGTCCAAATACCTTTGACAATACCTTTGGCTTTTGCAGAGAAAAAGTGCATTATGAATTCTAGCAAGTACAAGAATATTTATAGCCCAAAAACCTGGTTGCCTTTACCAAGAGGTTATCATCAGTGATCTTTTAACAAGATAATGACCTCAAGCATACTGTACATCCAAATCCAGAAATGGTGGTAGGACACAAAATCAAAATGTGCACTATGCATCTTGCATACAGATTTGAATCCTACTGAAAACCTGGCGTCTGACTTGAAGAGGAGAGTCTGCATACACAAACCTAAGAATACAGGAGCTTGAAATGAGGAGTGGACCGAAACCCTCTAACAATGATCTCCTATACTGTTAGAATATTATTGTTAATGTAAGAGGCTCAGTACTGTTATTCTCTCCAGGAAAGGCGTCACCAAATATGAATTGTTGAGTGCTGATAATTGTGAAACCAATGATTTGCAGAAAAAAACAACAACATTGCACTGCTTCAGGGATCTTTTTGTTCAACAAAATTATACAGCATCTCCTTATATTGAAGCTCAAACTATTACACATTGCAAATATTCATTTTTGCTAAATTTCCTGAAGCACTAGGCAACTGAGACGACATAACCTTCAATAAACATGATTCAGATATGAATGACCAGGATTAATCTTATTACTATATGGGATTAATAATTCTCCTGACCATATCAAAGCACATTCTCCAAACGCTGTTAAATGGTTTAAATTATACTGAGATATTATGATTTGCTCTCTTCAACCCCATTGCCTCTGTGCTTCATGGAATAAATGTTTGCAAGGAGACTAGAAGGGGACATGCTGAGAAGAGGAGGAGGGGGACTGTCAGCTGTAAATAATCAAGGAGCTGGAGGCCAATGTGAGTGACGTCAAGCATTCCCGTCTCACAACACGCTCCCTCTGATCCACCCGCGCTACCAATGAACCATACTCTTCTCTTCACATGCCTCCCTCATACTTTCCATCCGGAGCTTATTAATGTCAATGTGCAATTCCTTTACACTCGTCCTCCCCAAGGTCAAGGTGTACCAAGGCCACCACACCCTTGTGTTTGTATAACATCCAGCTAAGCTCTTTTATCTGCTCTTCCTCTGGTGATCAAAATAAAGCAGCTTGAAGGGGAAACTGTCTGCATTAAAAACGGGGTTATGGTTTTGCACTCGACTTCTCATGTCATATTGTTAAGCACAGGAAATTGTACTGTCTCATATGACAGATTCAGTGATTAAAAATAACTACTGCACAGTTGAGGAAATGCTACACAGAACAATTAAAATGTGTGAAATACATTACAGTTACAGTGCATTACAGTGGCATTAGCATCATCAATAGTCCTTTCATGATTTGGAGTAATTCCCATTTTTAGTTTCATTAGTTTTATAGATTCATATGTGACTATTTCAGTGATGCACTGTTTTAGCCTATCTATCTATCTATCTATCTATCTATCTATCTATCTATCTATCTGCCTGTCTGTCTATCTATCTATCTATCTATCTATCTATCTATCTATCTATCTATCTGTCTGTCTGTCTGTCTATCTATCTATTTTATTTACAGCACTGTTCTTTGCTTCATTATTCCTGAGGCCACACTCTTATATGTAAATGTTCCTCAATGTTCCAGCAATGAAGAGTTACACTGATTATTTCATAATGTCATGAAATAATGAAACCTGCCTCCCCTACTGTGCATGCCTTATTACCTTGAAGAGAACATTTGCTCTCCAAATAAGTCTGTTTGTTGTTCTTTTTCCCCCTAATGCACTGCCTCAAAAAATATGAAAGCCCCCGAAGAGCAATTTTCTCCAATTTTACAATGTCATTTTCTCAGCATAGTCAAGTGAGTTTTACTTTTGCAAATGGCATGCAGTACTTGGAATAATACAAACAAGTAGTCAGGGGTGAGTGGTCTCAGGACTGGCTTGTGTTATCAGTGTAGGAAAGAAGCTCAATGTAATCTTAATCTCGATATAAGAATTCAGGAATTGATTAGAACCCGTCTACCCATTTAGTCCTCTGTATAGATCATGAAGTAGCTTGTTATCATGGTCAGAGGAATTTTGCTTCTTATGTTCATAATACAAGGTGTCCACTGTAGAAAGAACATTATACAGTTCCCAGTATATACATATGGTGTGTGTGTGTGTGTGTGTGTGTGTATATATATTGATGATGTGACTGCTGACAGAAGTAGCAAGATGAATTCTGGGGTGTATAGGGCTATACTCTCTGCTCACATTCAGCCAAATGCTACAAAACTGACGCCACTTCACAGTGCAGGTGGATAATGACCCTAAACATACTGCGAAAGCAACTCAAGACTTTTGAAGGCAAAGAAATGGAATATTCTTCAATGGCCAAGTCAGTCACCTGATCTCAACCCAATAGAGCATGCTTTTCGCTTACTGAAGACAAGACCGAAGGCAGAAAGACCCACAAACAAGCAGCAACTGAAGGTGGCCTCAGTGAAGGCCTGGCAAAGCATCTCCAGGGAGGAAACTCAGAATTTGTGTTTTGAGAACATGGGCTCCAGACTTCAGGCAGTCATAGACTGCAAAGGATTTTCATCCAAGTATTAAAATTATGGTAATATTTACAATTATCTCACTTTGTCCAAATACCTTTGAGCCCCTGAAATTGGAGGTACTTTGTTGAAAATGGCTGTAATTCCTAAATGGTAAATGCCATATTTTTTTGGAAACTCTTCAAGTAAAGCTGAAAGTCTACACTTCGATCACATCTTGATTGTTTTATTTCAAATCCATTGTGGTGGTGTATAAAAGCAAAATCACAAAAACTCCGCCATTGTCCAAATACTTCCGGACCTGACTGTATATATATATATATATATATATATATATATATATATATATATATATATATATATATACACATATTCTGAAAGTGGTTAGTAGTGGTTAGCCTGAAAGTTCTTATGAACATAAACAAAATACATCTGGTTATGAGAACATGCTGCTTCATCCAGGGTAGACTGATTGAGTAGATAATCTCAATAAAGCCAGTGAAGATCAAATATCACAAGACTGAAATCAGCAAAAAATGACAAATTGTTGATTTAAAAGCCATGCTGTTTGACAAATGGATAATGTAATATTATACAACATGACTGAAGACACAAAGACAAAGGAGTTAAAATACAGGCTACGTTTCTCAGCAGATGGAGTGTTATAAGGACCTAAAGGATTTGACCCCAAAACACATTGTGCAAAATTTGGTGAAGTTTCCTTTAAATTCTGATAGCTCCAGTTCGTGTGGCTGCCCAAGAGAACCAACAACTGATGTGGACCAATAACATCCAACCATTCAGGACAAGGACACCTCTCTGTTTGCCTGTCAGCCATGTTGTATTCATGTTGGTGGTGTGCCATCGTGGATCTAGAGACTGGGTGCAAGGAGGAAATACACCCCGGGATGCCGCTCCATCACAGGGCACCTAGGGGCAATTTATTTTATCCAGTCCTCCTGGCATGATTTTTTTTTTTTTTTTGAGAAGTGGGAAGAAACTAGAGAACACACAGAAAAACCATGTGGATATGGGAAGTACACA